GGCTAAAATTTTACCTCAACAGGAGAGAGACAATCTCCTTTCTTCATCAAAAAAGAATGGCAGAAGGATAAGAGAGAAGTTTAAACAGAGATGTGCCGAAATAAGATCTCATCGCCTACAGGCACTTAAAAAGAAACAATGTGAAATTGAAGGTAAAAAGAAAAAGCAGTTAAAAGAGAAGACAAAAATCAGTGATCAAATGATATATTTTGGTCTGTGGCAGACCACAGATGAGGTCATTCATAAACTGGAGGAAATTCCAACAATAAAAGAAAAAAGATCGGCATTAACAGCACAGCTGAAATTTAGAAAGACAGTACTCCAGCAAACTCCCTCCAATACTCAACTTTACAATCTTTCCCAAAAACAGCCAAGTGGGAAATATGCCCCAAAAAACATCAAAGAACTTACAGAATGTGTTCAGCAGTTAATTACAGAAGCCTGTTCTGATGAACACACCGCTGAGTCAAAGGATTATAGAACACCACTGCTGGTTGGGAAGACCATAGATCACACATTCTCTGATGGTGAAATATATAGGGGACAAGTAATTAATGTTGTGCCAGGTTTTGGTACTTGGTATAACATAAAATACGAGAAGTATGATGCAATTTATACCTATCAACTACAAGACGATTATAAGGACGGGTCTCTTAAAATTGTCATTCAAGCAGATTATTAAGATAGGTAACTCTCAATCGGCATAATATGTGTACACATCTAATGTCACACCTAAAGTATAAAAAATAAATATTAACTAATGAATACTTAATACAATGAAATCAATAACCTGTCTCTGCTGAATACTTGTGGGATTGAGAAATATGTTTACGAAATTGTAAACATTATCTACTGTTCTACTTTACACAAGTTTCACTGTGTTTTTGATTTGTGTGTATGTATATACTAAAGTTAATAACAAAAATGACACTATGTTATATATATATATATTTATTTAACTTTGCACATTGCACTTCTTGAAAATGTTAAGAAATATAAAAAGTACAATAAAATACTGTGGAATACTTATTTTCAAATGGATTTTATTTTCACTATTTACAATGAAAGCATTTTCTCGCTAAAATAAATTGCAGTGAAATTGCTATTTTTCCTATACTTTACATTGGGTCTTGCTACAACACAGTGAATATGAGATCCACACATAATGCCTGAAAACTGTTTTCAGCGAAAATAAATTCCAGTGAAAATAAGGTATTTTTCAGTATTTGTTTGTGACCTTTGTTTGGTATATATCATAAAATGACAAAACCCTCCATAAATTTAAAAATTTATTGATTTTTATGACTCTGCAAATATTATTGACTTTATTAGTTCAGACAAAGATATTTGGAATGATATGAACATTAATTATATACTTTCCAATTTATTTCAGCTCTTAGAACATGTAAATAATGTGAATTGTATTTAAAATATAAAGATTTGGTGAAATTAAGGCATCTTTTGCTGTCCTGTATTGCAGAAAGGTAAGTTCTCTAATTCTGCAGTGCTATTGGCTGCTGTTAACCCTTGACCCCAGACCCGGAAGAACGTAATGTACTGATGCCTTGTTACGTTTTACAATGGTAGTCACCAGTGAGTGTGTTGGTCAGCTGAAAATTATTGTTTTTATATGCACTGATGAATTCCCTATTGATGTCACTTTTTCTCTGTTTTTGATGTTTTGGTAGTCCAAGGGTTGTTCACGAACCAATGCTGTCACATCTTTTCCTTTTAAATAATGATGTCATTGTGTTAGTTATATCATTACTCACCTTCAACTACTGCATTTACAAGAAAAAAAATTTGCATATCTCATTTGCATATGAAAGGTCTGCCATTGCT